TATATCGTATAATCATCAATAGCTTAATAGTTGAAGAATCATAGCAATGCAAAGACATTAACTCTATCAATTGAATATTTCGGCAATTAGCCGTATCACATATCACAAGGAGAAAAAAAATTCTTATAAAATTTCCCATTATTCTGGAAATAAAACCAAAATATACCGGATTTATGTTATGTTCTCTTATTATGTTATATTATTATTATTATTATTAAAACCTTAAATTACTAGTATTATGATATTTTGGCAATAATTTTTTTTATTTATTTTAAGGTATTCACTATTGTGAGTTTTTTTGAACCGTAATATTTAACCAAATATTTGTTTGTGCAATCAATAAGGAAATTATAAAATAACAAAAGTAGTAAGCCTTAGTGGATCATTTATAAAGTCGAGGTATGACTCTCTCCAGTAGGTAAATCCATTCCCTAGTTTGAAAATGCATACAATAATTGTTTAAAGAAAGCAAAAGTTTAAACAATTATCTCAAAAACACCTAAAATGAATTTTCAAAAGAATTAAAATAAAGAAACTTTTTACAAGAATTTTAAAAAGAACGGATAATAAAATTAAGTTTAAGTTAACGATTAAGTTCTTATACGTTATATACGTTTAAACGTAGTTATTATTTTGTGAACTGTAAAAAATTTTGGATCAATTTACGGTAAAAAGTACCGCTGTCAAGGTACAGACACTTTTTACCGTAAAATCCATCTTTACCGGTACATGCTACAGAACAAAATATCTGATAAACTACAATTTTTACAGAAATAATTACTCTAAAATCACTGAATCTTTCTAATAAAATGAACATCACTGTAAAAAAATTACGGCATAATATTTACGAAAAGAAAGGCATCTATGGTAAAAAGGGATTTTACGATAAAATAGATTTTACGGATGATGCTTCCAAAGTGCTGGTGCTTTATACCGTAATTTTTTATAGTGTAGTCTTTACTGTATTATATCGTGTTATATCATAACCGTAGATATACATTTTCAAATTTTGAGTGAAATATGGATTTTACGTTGCAAAACATCGAATAAGTTTGACAACCGAATTATCACCGCAAAGCACCGAATAAGTTTGACAACCTTATAATAAGTTAAGTTGAAGCACAGAATAAGTTTGACAACCTGCAACAGAGTTGACGTTAATTTTTTGTTGTTGTTCATTTTTCAATCTAGAAAGAAATTAAAAGGAAAACTTACTTAAATGAATGATCAAATGTAATTTGGAGCACAATAGATTAGAAAAAACAATCTTGTTACAATATATATAACCATCTTATCAGGTGGATACAAACTTAAAAACAAAAGCAAATAGTATCAATTTGCGTAATTTAATCATTTCAAATTTAAATCCTGATAATAAATTCATGTTTTTCATTTTTCACATTGTTTCATGCGAAGTAGAATTTTCCGCATTCTATTTCGGGCTCTTATTTAATGTTTTCGTCCTTAATATTGAATACTGCGAACACTTATGCTATACACCTTTGATATCTTTTTTATATTATCAGTGAGAAAAGCATTTATTTAGGAATATGTTATCAAAATCAACCTCGTTAGAAACTTCTCATGCGGCTGAATCATAAAGATCAGAAAATTTATGCGATCAAGGTTACTTTCCATTTATTATTTCGTGCATTTCTTTTCTTCCTGAAAAACAAAACAAAATAATGATTTTTTAATTAAAAATAAACGTCCGAAAAAGCAACCAGAAGCAAGAAAGTTTAATTAAATCAGAAATTTAGTAGAAAAAGCAGGAAATCGAAATGCTTGTAAAATGTTATAGAAGACTTCAAGAAAGAGTTTTGAGAAAAACCCTTTCCTCAATGGAGGAAAAACATACAGTTTGAGTGTTTTTAATTCAAAGCAAAGTTCTAATTTGAAACAGCATATACTTCCTTGCTGAAACAAATTATTTTAGGACTTCAAAAATGACAAACTACTCAAATATTAAAAAAAAAAAAAAAACTTTTGGACATTGAAAAAAAATTTATTTTCCCCTTGATTAAAATTTTTAAAATCAATAAATAATTCTCAATTTTAGCAGATCTTGACCCTCAAAAATGTAACGGAGTACCTTATATTAGATTCAAAAAAGATTCGCAAATGCTTTTTATTTCTCACCTAATTGTGTTCTTCATGATATTGATATTTTGCGCCATTTTTATTGATAGAATGACTCACGCTGACTTAGAGACAAAATCTAAGCAAAATAACGTACATAATTGTAACAAACTTACTAGTATAAAAGATCCGTGGTGGCTAAGAGGATAGAGCATTCGCCTCCCAATGAGGTAACCCGGGATCGAATCCCAGCGATTGCTGCTTAACACAAATTCCGCTCCCAACTCGCACTGACCACAGTGCTGACATAAAATATTCCCAGTGGTAGACGGAACATAGGTTAGAGTCTCTTTGCTGTTAGGCTAACTGTGGTTTTTTTGTGGTCTTCCCCTCTATGTAACGCAAATGCGTGTTGGTTCCATCAAAAAGTCCTTCATGAAGGCAAATTTCACCGAATACTTGATCCAGGAGTTCCCTTGTCTTCTGGATTAAGTTCAAAATTTCAAATTACAGAGTTGAGCACTGGTAGTCGAGAACTCAGAATTGGGTCAGCTGTTCAACACTGGTTATAGAATAAAAAAATAGAATAAAGGAAGGATATAATTTTTAAAAAAGAGATATTTCTCAATTATCAAAGAATAGTTCTTGATTATCTCAAACAATACAGGATTAGAGTTACTATTAAACTATTAAATAAATTAAAGTGCTTTGATCTTTTTTTTTCTTTCTAAATTATGGTTCTTTTTCGTGTTAATATTTTGAACAATTTTGATGTAAGATTCGCGATTGACCGTTATAAAACAGTAACTGGTATAAAAGTCGCATATTATTCTTTAAAAAGTGTTATTTCTCAATTATAAAGGAATAATTATCGATGAGCTAAAAAATACAGAGTTGGAGTTATTTTTTAATTTGTTATAATTATATTATAGTAATAATTACTGTAAAATATTTGAGCTATTTTCATTAAATAAATATTACTGTAAAAATTATGGTATAATATTCTGCAGCAAAAATGGATTTTACGGAATTACATCCAAATTGCTGGTACTTCATATTTAATTTGATCCGTTATTTTTTACAGCGTATCCTTTGAAAATGCAATGCGTATTTTCATTAATACATTTTAAGTTACGGCATAAAAAGAAAAGCATCTCTTATGCTTTCGTTCCATGCCAGTTATTTTAAATTCATAAAGACACTCAAAAAGGAAAGTGATATTAAAAGTTATGTGAAAGAAAGTGAAAAAAATATGTTAGAATATTAAAAATGAAACAAATCACGAAAAATTAAACTGGAAAAATTAAAGAAATTTATTATTATTTTAAATTTAAATTAAAGAATTTTCCGAACATCAAATTTGCCTTTTTCTAGTTTTTTTCCGACAGGGAAAACAAAACAAAACAAATTTTCATTTTTTTTTTTGTATAATCATATCTTTTGAACTTGACTGCAAAGCTCAATTAACTGCTCCCATGGTTCTATATTGTAATATTTTTAGTGATATAATTGTATTCTGATATTTATAAGAGTTTTAACTTTTACAAAAAAATTAAAAAGATTAAAAAACTTGGATTCACTGAGCATCTTTTAAATAGGCATGTTTTATGCATTTGATTATACTACAGGAAAAAAATTAACAGAGAACTCAGTAATATTTAAAATTCTATTTGTATTTGTTTGTTTTCTCAGAAAATGTTATTTCCAAAACAAATTGGATTCTCGTAAAAAATTATCTTATTAACTCTTAAGAACTTCTCCTGTTAAAAAAATTTAGCCAGGTTTTTGCCGAACAAACTCGAGTTATTACTGCTATTTATGGTATTATTGTCTTTTATAAAGTAAATACTGAGAAAAACGAATGGTCAAAACCACCTGAATATGGTAAAATGAACAGTGTTTATGGCTTTATGGGAACATCAAAAAGCACGGTACTTTTTTCCGAATGGTTTTGTTTACGATTTTGGTAAAATTTACAATGAAATATTGCGTACTGTATCAAAATTACCGTACTGTATGGTAAAAAGGTTAAAGGTGTATGGTTAAAGTCCTTTTAAAGAAAGTTTGGTTGAAAGTACTTATGTCTTGTTGTGCAAATTCGTGGAATTGATTACTAACACGTAGCTTATTACGTAAAGTTCTCATTCGAAAAAAAACCTAGACTTTAGGCTCCCGTTTTCGGAAGAATCTCAGCTCCAATTTGACACGTTCTTTTTTACCATTCTAAAAATGAGTTCAGAAAAAAATTATTAACAGTGTACGCTTCGCTGTGAATGTTTCTGAAATAAATTTCTAAAGTATTATTTGTAACTGAAAATTTGCATAACAGAAAAAAAGATCTTTTTATAAGAATTTACTCGAGTTCCAACTGTCATTTTTGAGAACAATTATGCCTCAAACATACAATCTCAGGGTACATTTTATAAAATAATTACCCTGGGGAACAATTATTTTTTAGTTTTCTGCCGCAATAGATTTTTTGACAAAACTTAGTAATTTCCGTATCGTTGATTTTAAATCTGCCATCTGAATCTCCAAACTTCAACTTTTTTTAAAAATATAAGCATTCTTAGTTTATTTTTTGTTGAAATATATAACTTTAAAAACGCTTTATATAACAGGGAGCCGTATAAAGGGCTAGGCGTATAAATTTACAAAATCAGTTATTGATAAAATTTTGAATATGATATATGAATGAAAAAAATAATTTCTCGAACTACTTTTTTAAGATTTTACATTTTAGTACATTAGTGCATTGTCAGAACATCACTCCGATAATCTCACAGATTTTTTAATAACTATAAGACTGTTTTTTATATCGAAAATATACCGTAATATATTTTTGCTTGCAATTCGAACGTCAAAAAAAAAATAATTAAAAGGGACACTGGTGTCCTAACTGTGTCAAAGTGTTAATGTTATTGAGTCCCACACAGATGATATTCAGAAATCTTTAAATCTAGTAGCTTTATGGTTGGTTTTAAAAGTATCCATTGTGTTATAGTTTTTGAAATACTCTTGAATATATCGGCTAATTTTATGCTTCTTAATTTAAAGTATTGTTTCTAAATTCTTGTATTGTAAAGCAAAACTAACTGCATATAACACATTAAAAATAATTTTTGAAAGGGGTACATACAGAGTCATTTGTATCTATCTAATTTTCATAATGCATCGATAAAGCGCAATCAACTAATGTCCGACTTTATTACCGATGCATAAGTTGACCCCCCTGGCTTTCGTAAAATTTTGGGGCTTGAAAAGTCAACTTATACACCGGTATATACGGTTATTTAAAAATTTATTAAACATTTTCTTTTCAAACCAAAACTTTTGCTCAGCAATATTCCATTTTATTATATGTCTGAGTGGATTAAAGAAGCATTAAATATACAACGTATTTTAGCATTATAATGTTTTTTATTGATTTTAAAACATTCCAAATTGGAAATTGAATATCTGAAAAAATACAAATTGTTGATACAAATAGATTTTGAAATTGTTACACAAAATTATATAGCAATACAATTGCAATTTCCAATTTTTACAAGTGATCAATTTATATCAGTTGAGTACAAGATTATATAGTAAAAAGATTATAAAAATAGACTCGCAATATTTTATTTTTATAACAATTGTTAAAATAACTTTTTATAGGGTATATAAATTGCATTATACATGTACAACGAAAATATATCACATCATTATGTTACTTAGTAAAAATTCGCATCATTTTTAAAAATGAAAAATTTAATTTTTGGATTAATAAAATTCGAATATAGGTAGATTATAAAAAATATGTATAGATAAAATAGATAAAATCTCTACACTAATGAGTAACATTTGATTTTATATAAAAGAGTGAAATTTTTTTCAAAAATAAAAATTGTAATACATGAAAATATAAAAAACTATAACAAATCAACTCATGAATATTTTGTACAGTTATTATAAAGAGCAAAGTAATATCAGATTTTTAAAATATAAATTGTATATAGATGGAAGAAAAACGTTAAAATTAGTTAATGCGCAGTAACTATCAAATTTTCTTTTAGGATAAATAATAAATGAAATTTAAAATAATAAAAAATAGTATTATAAAGAGATTATAAGAATACATATCAAATCAGGGTCTCACTAATCAGGGTCTAATATAACTGTAATGTTTTTATAAAAAGTAATAAATTGAAACTTTAGATCAATGTAAGAAACTTTATAAATCGATTATATGAAAATAAGATATTATTTAGAATAGTTATTTTATAATTTAAAATAATGAATAAGCAATATCATGATCAACGTTTTATCAATAGTAATTAGGCATTTAATGAGAAATACTTAAATAAATTGCAAATAATATAACTCAGTTCCAAGTTTAAAATTGTTGCTGTCATTAATTCTCCTGTTGTTTAGTGAGTCGCCATTTCACTGACAAAACAGTTTAGAGTTTCAAATGAAAACTACTCTTTTTAATTTGAAATTTGTAGATTCTATTTAATAATTGATCGTATTTTCTAATCAGGTCGTTTGTTTTGGATGTCTAAGGGGATGGCAAACAATCTTTGTATTTATCTCTGAGACTTTTATCGACGCTGTTATTTCTGAACAGACGTTCGAAAGCCTCAACAGCTAAGAGTAAATTATATTTTGGCTGACAATGAGGTTTTACAAACAGGGAAATCTTATTTCGAATTTTATTTGCTTTGAATTCAATCTTCCTTAAGAAATTCTTCTCTAACAAATCCTTTGGAGCATTCTTATTTTTGTTTTGAAAGCCTAGTTCATTTACAGTGAAATAGTTTGTCTTAGCTGTACGATCTATAATTACATCCATCATGGGATCGTCTGTTTTTAGGCGAATCTTAGTTTCTTCGTGGAATATTTCAACTTGTAGTTCTCCTTTCATAGGTATATCGAACACTCCAGTATTAGAGCTATTGCCATCTAAACTTTTGCTGAAAAGAACTTCGTTTCTCTGATTCTTTACGTTTAGGCTAACGTACTTCTTATTTTCAAAATAACTATGAGGATTGCTCGAAAAAAATCTGAAGGTCAGAATTTCTTTAAAAGGATTGGCTGTCAGGTTGGCAAAGTAATTATCAGCTAGTCCAAGAAATTTGATCTTGTCAAGTGAAAGAGAGGGATCTTTCATTACTTTTCCTGTAAGAAATAACTTATTCGAATAATTTGCATGTACTATTGCATAAAAATCATCAAAGGCAAGCTTCATATTCTTAGCATTTGGCTCGATAAAAACCTTGTATACTCCTATAGGTACATCCTGAAAAGTAATAATTTGACTCTGGATTTTTTGCTGAGCTACTGTTCGAGATCCGTCCATCAATTTCAGCATATCGCCTGTTATTTCACCAAGTATTTGGTTATCTATGTCAACAGTGAAATCATTTTTCATTTGTGTGGATTTCAAATCTGTTGGAGTAACCAAACTAGTTAAGTGATGTAAACCCAGGTTGTTATAAACATCAAGCATTTCTTTGACATCACTTATGATGTAGTTCAGAGGATAGGCTACACTGGATAAAACATAGTAATGTTCATATAGCTGTCCTTCTTGTATTGCTGCTTTTGCCAGTTTCATAAATGGATAAACATCAACAGCAAACTCAATTGCAAAGAAGTGCATCAGTTTTTCTAATAATAATGTTCCACTGGCATAATAAGGACGGCCATCAAATTCTTCGCGAGTCAGTTGATTGAAGCGTGAAAAAGATTTCTGACCAGCTTTCAAAAACATGTGGGTTAAAAATGATAATTTTTGGATTACATCCCAACTTTTGACTTCTATTCCTATTTTCAGTATTGCCGCAATGTTCATCTCTCGTTGTTTAGTACCTTTAGTTCTAATGTCTTTACCAAACTTAATAGTTTGATAAAAGAAGCATAGAATATTGTTCCATACTTCATTAACAGTCAACGTTTCATCACCTAGGTTTCTCAACTCATGTCCGTGACCAATTTCATGCAAAGCTCCCCAATTCCCTGGACTGACATCCAACCAAAAGTCTGTGACTGACCCGGAGTTCATAGCCGTATACGGTAGATCGTAATACGCCAACCCAAATCCATTTTTGTCTGCTTTAATAAAAAACCTGTTTCTTACGTTCTGATCGGTCCCAGTTTCTTCGAACGACAACCCTATGAATTGACTGTAAGTGGTAAAGATGTTGTCGTAGAAAATAATTAAATCGTTGAGACGCTTGCCATTAGCTAACTTTCTCGTAGCTTCTTTGTCTATTTTCGGTATAAGAAGACCGAAATAATCTGATTCTACGTAAGCAAATTCTGCATCTTGGGAATCCCAGAGTGCAAAGAAATCTTCCTCCTTATCATCGAAATGATAGATGGGAAGAGTTTTCGAACCAGCTGGATAGCTTATTCTGATATCGCGATTGTCTGTTGGAGGTTTTTCAAGGTACTCACAATCGACGAATGGAACACTCACAGAGTCTAGTTTAAATGTTGATGCTCGGCCAGGCAGGGAACTTTTAACTGTAAAATTGCCTTCAGTCTTTCGGCCATCATTTAGGAGTCGTACTCTCACCTGGGTAAGACTCCTACTCTCCAGAGCTATTTCCATTTTATTGTTGGCTGCCAATATGATTCCAACTGGTATTCGATGATGGCCAAGGCCTTTACTCATGGGAAAGTCATACCAGGCAGGTTTTAGTAGCCAAAGAGCTTGTAGTCTCTTGCTTGAGGTCATCTTAATTTATCTGTAATGGTAAAAACTATTATTAGTTTTGCTTTTTTTTTCGCACCTTTTGCGCTAATATTAAGAAATAGTTTTTTTTTTCGCTATGAATCTCAATCACATTTTTTGTCGTTAGAATCCACAAATTTTTGTAAATTCTGTACATAAATTTTAATTCTATACATAAAATAAAATCAAAAAGTTGCACAAATCCTGGCGAATATTAGAAACAGGTTTTTGTTGAATTTGCTTTAAAAAGCAATAAATTTTGTAATGAAGGATGTTTTGTAATCAAGTCTTTTAATAAGTAATTTTCAGCGCCAATGCCTCGGCTCAGGGGATAGATCATTCGCTTTCCAGTAAAGTGAACTTGGTTCGAATAACAGCGATGGCCGGTGGATACGAATCCGCATCCGGCTTGCATCAACCACAGTGCTGGCATGAAATATCCTCAGTGGTAGTCGGGTCATGAGTTAGAATGCCTTTGTCGTCAGGCTAACCTTGGGAGGTTCTCGTGGTCTTCCTCTCCATGCAACGCAAATGTGGGTTAGTTCCAACAAAAAACCCACCACGAAGACAAATTTCTCCCTTGCTTGATCCAGGAGTTTGATCATAAAAACTATAAGTTGCTTAAATTCAAGTTGAATTTAATGCCTTATTACTAAAAAAAAAAAACGTATACATTTAAATCTATAATAAAGTAACAGAATGTATAAATTTTTTTTTACTCTTTGTTCGTTGCGGTTCTCAATGCTGCTTTTTAATTTCTATTAAAAACATGTTTAGAAATACTTTAAAAGCAAGTCTTAGCAATTTCTCATCGTTTGGTTGTTTGTTTTTTTAAAAATAATAATTAAACTTAGATGAGAAATTTTTTTTAGATGCTGTAATTATCTGCAGCGCCCTCTGTTGTGCTCTAGGCTTTCTGCCACCAGGATCATCTGATAAAGTTCAGTGATGCTTCTATTAATCGCTTTTATCCTCTTCTCAGTTTTCTCTGACAATTAAACTGTTTTTAATGTTTTAAAATGTTCCAGTTTAGTACGATGGTATAAAAATGCAGAAACAAATGCGTACGACGGAGTAGATTTGGAAAAAAATCATTTTAACCTTAATTAAAATTTATTATTACTGCAGCTTTAGTATGATCAGTAATTTAAACTAGAGAACCTAAGTTAAAATTTCAAGAATATGACCACGGTTTTAAGTCTACGTCTTAACCAAAGAAAACAAAGAACATTATCCAAAAACTGCTACTTTAATAACTTAGGCACACTATTTTAACTATATTAAAGTAAAATTTTATAATTTTTTAGTTTAGGATTTTCAAGTCTTAAATTGATAAAAATTCAAAGAATTTATGGGGTAATATTATTATATATAGCCCCACATATATTTTAATAAAATTGCAGCAATATATTAGAATATTATTGCATGCATAATATGTTTTGAAATTTTAATTTTGACATGAATTTCTCTTTATGCATTTAACTCGCCTGAACTAAAATGAAAATAAAAATATAAACCGTCTATATGAACTATGGAAATTAAAAATAATTAATTAAATGTACGTTATTAAAATGAATTATTAAATTTTATTGATGAGGTTCTCATAAAAATATTGTACAATATGGTAGCTTTCTGAATTTTAAAATCAGAAGATATTATTTATATCTAAACTTATAATATATCAAAACTTATATATAATGTATCCAAACTTATAAACTTATTAGAGAAATATTATAATATATCTAAACTTATAACGTACCTAATAAGCCCAGTTATATTTTCAATGTGCTTGATTTCCTTAATTCTTTCCTTTCAACAACGGTTGTNATTTCTAGGATCTGACCACGGTTTTAAGCCTATACGCGACTGCTACGTCTTAACCAAGGAAAACAATGAACATTATCCAAAACCTGCCACATTAATAATTTAGGTACACTATTTTAACTATATTACAGTAAAAGGATTAGTTTAGGATTTTCAAGTCTTGAATTGATAAAAATTCAAAGAATTTATGGGGTAATATTATTATATGTAGCCCCACATACATTTTAACAAAATTGCAGCAATATATTAAAATATTATTGCAAGCTTAATATGTTCTGAAATTTTAATTTAACATGAATTTCTCTTTAAGTAATATTAAACATTTAACTTGCCTGGACTAAAATATAATAAAATATATAAACCGTTTTATGGGAACTCTGGAAATTAAAAATAATTAATTAAATGTATGTTATTAAAATAAATTATTAAATTTTATTAATGAGGTTCTCATAAAAATATTGTACAATGTGGTAGCTTTCAGAATTTCAAAATCAGAAGACATTATTTATATCTAAACTTATATATAATGTATCCAAACTTATAAACTTATTAGAGAAATATTATAATATATCTAAACTTATAACGTACCTATTAAGCCCAGTTATCTTTTCAATGTGCTTGATTTCCTTAATTCTTTCCTTTCCACAACGGTTGTTATTCTAAACTTTTCTGTTCATCAAGGTGCAAGTTCTGATCATTTAAAGAAGTTTACCTAAACAAATATACCAAAAATGCTTACTTAGTTATACATATTTCAAAATAATTATTATTATCGAATTAAAAATATTTAAAAAAAAATAGCTACATATTTTACATATTTACTCAAAATGAAAAAAAAATATTTGTAAGTTGAGAGATTTTTTAACAAACTACGGGTCAATACGTTGTTTTATATAACTGGTGCTGAACAGTCGACCCAATTCTTAGTTTATGACTACCAGTGTTCAAATCTGTAGTCTCGTATCCAACCTACAAGATAAGAGAACTTCTGGATCAAACATTGGGACAAACTAGATTTCGTGGAGGGCTTTTTGATGGAACTTTGCGTTACGCAAAAAGAAAAACCACGGAATCCTTCTCCGGATTGCCCGACGGCAAGGGGATTCCAACCCATGATCCGCTTACCTCTGAGGATATTTTGCGACAGAATTGTGATCAATTCTGTCGTAAGGATCCAGGAGCAGAATTCGTACCAACCAGCCACCAGTGGGATTCGAGCTTGATAATTCTTCTTTAAAATTTCATTTTTTCAATTTTTCATGAGGTTGAACTAGTGAAGTTCATACAAATTTATAGATAAGAGAAAAAATCCTATCCTAGGTCGTAGAAATTATCTTAAAAATGTAATGCAATCAAAACACGATAGAAATCGCATGAAGAGTTTCTGAAGCATCGATAAGACGAGGAAGCTAGGCGTGTAAAGACGATTGAATTTAGGATTTGAGCCAGGAAAATCCTATTTTCAAACAAAATACGATTGAAAGTAGGAGAATAGTAATTTCTACGGATTATTTTATTTCAGATGGATTTTTGCAAGTCCTTCAAAAGTACTAATTTCAAAAAATGTTTTTGGAACAAGTTCGGTGCGTACCCTTTCAGATAAATTTATCCTTTCGAAAAAGAAAGTGAGAAAAAAGTGCAAATAGGTGAATTTCTTTAATATGGTTAAAAATGGGTAGAAGCATATTTAATTTTGGCACTTTTGACTAAATACATGTGGCAGAGTTAGACATATTATGCAATTAACGTCTAATCATAAATTATTTTGTAAGGGGAGTTTCCTAATGAATCAATGTTTCTTTATTGCATTAAGAAAAATAGGCAGTTTACAAAATTGTGTGCCTTAATAGAGCATTGATGATTTCAGTTATAGGTTAAAATAATTTTCCAAATAAATAAATAAGTTGATGAATAAATAAATGAAATAAAATAAACAAAAAACATTCGGTTAGTTATAAGCAATTTAATATTTTTCGCTTAGCCATTAAAAAAATTGCTATATTACATTAAGCCAGAAATTTTTTATTCAATTTCCTTGATTGATTTTCTAGGTTTAATGTTTTAATAGATGAGAACAAAAGAAAGTATTCAATTTCTTAAAACAAATTTAGAATATAGTTTCTTTATTGAAGCTTAGCTTAATCCATGACTGAAAACATAATGAATATATTTCATAAAATAAAGTAACTTTCGACTTTACCAATTACTGTTGAGAAACTTTATCTCAAATAAAAAAGTTACATACCAGAATTTTGGGCGGCATAATAATCGCCTAATTACATTTATCATCGAATTCTTCAGCTTTCTGAAATGCCCGCAATGCAATGAGCTTTAAAAAGCATATTTTTACATTTTGTATGGTATTTTTTTACATCTTATGGTATTTTTTTACATCTTATTAATTTTTCCTTAATAAGATACCTCGGAAATCCAAATTATCATACAATTTTAAAAAAACTTTTTTATTATTGTACTGAGTAAGTCAAAAAGTAACAATTCTGTTAGACATAATTTTATTATCATCGAAAGAGTTAATTATGAAAAAGTTATTTCAATAGTTTTCAAAATATCTAGAGTAATTTGGTCTAAGATACAATCGATCGAGCATTATAAGTCGTTGAACAGTCAACACAATTTTGGGTTACTCCGTAGTCTTGTAATTTTGAACCCAATTCAAAAGACAAGGAAACTGCTGGGTCAAATATAGGGAGAAATTTGCCTTCGTGGAGAACTTTTTGATGAAACTAACCTGTATTTGCATTACATGGTGAAAAAAACTACGATTACCTCCCATGGTTAGCCTGACGTCAAGGGGACTCTAATCCATAATCCGTCTACCACTGAGAATATTTTAACGTCAGCGCAGTGGTCGGTACGAGCTGGGTGCGGAACTCGAATTGATCAGCCATCGCTGGGATTCGAACCTGGTTCGCCTCGTTGGAATGCGAAAATTGGTTTCAATGTCTCACAATATCTGAATTACTATATACTGTAAAATATTCTGGATCAAATTACAGTATGAAATATCGGCACTTTGAGTGCATCCTCCGTAAAACACATTTTGACCGTAAAATATAATATCGTGTTTTTTACGGCAATATTTATTTAACTAGAGTGCGACAGTCATTTTACGGTAATTATTATTATAAAAAATTATGACTTATCATAATACGGTATATCAGATGTTTTATATCGTAACATGTTCCGGTAAAAATAATTGTTATGGTAACAAGTACCGGCACTCTCAGTGCTGGTACTTTTTACCGTCATTTAATCCGGAATTTTTTACAGTGTAGTGGTAGTATTTCATTTACATTTTGTGTAACACTTCAAAACAATGCAATCATTTATCGCCTTTGCGCAAGTTAATCTATAACCAGCTTTCTCAATGCCTACTTATTTTCTCTTTGTTATGCTTGTTCGTTGACTTTACCGATGGAGAGTGATTTGTTCTTTTGTCACAATTGCGTAATTTTCTATTATCATATCGTTACCTACAATTTTACTACTGAATGATGATAAATCAGAGATGTGTAAATTTTAGAAGATAGTGTGTTCATTGATAGATAATTGCTGAAAGTATCTTTAAATGATTCAAAGCCCTTTACTCAATGTCACAAGCTGAAGTTTTTTTTTATACGTTCTACACTTTTTTAAAACTTTTTTTAATAGAAATGCAGTCTGTTTCCATACCACGGAGCTTTTGCAGCCCACTCTCAGCTTTTGTTAACTTTTGGGAAGCTTAATGTTGAATGGTTAACGGTTGCTTATCATTTGACAGTTAATTTTTCGATTAATTCAATTCGCAATTTTAAAGTGACGTCATTATTTTTTATTTAATAATTATTTTATCAATAATTCAAGTATTCCTTTCATAAAATTAATATAATAAAAAGGTTAACATTTTAAGAAATAATAAGATGCAATTCACGATTTTTGCACTTAGGGATCGTTCCTACTGAATGCGGTTTGATTGCTGTATTTTAAAATTTCCAATCAAATTCTCAATTTCTAAATGTATATTTTATAAAAAAAAATTTTTTTGATGTAAAAATGACAAAAATATTGTAGCTGATACGTTGGCAAATAGCTTGTATTAAAATGAAAAGTTTGCTTTCAAAACATTTGAATTCCACACTAAATTACTCATTTATAACCAAACAAGAAAGAAAAAGTATTTCTACTGTTCTGTTATGATGAAAATTGTTTAAACTTTTCACTTTGTTTCCGAACGGCACCGTCAAAACAGTTTAGAGCGGACTACCCGTTATTAAAGCTATTTTTACACCATTTTTCTTTTATTTACGCAGACATTTAAAAGAATTGGATAAAATTAACTTTTTAAGGCAATAAAAATAATTTTTTGACGTTTCATAAAGGTCATTTTGTAGACCTCCGAAATTTTTACGGTCAATCCAAGTACAGTGCAGGTCGATGGTCCATGCACGGACTAGATATATATTTTATGGATATAATCGATTTTTCTACTGAATGCCTGAAAAAAAATGTGCCTGAAGCAAAATTCAGCAAATGTGCCTGAAACAGAATACAGCAAATGTGCCTGAAGCAAAATACAGCAAATATGCCTGAAGCAAAATTCAGCAAACGTGTCTAAGCAAAATTCAGCAAATGTGCCTGAAGCGAAATACAGCAAATGTGCCTGAAGCAAAATACAGCAAATGTGCCCGAAGCAAAATTCAGCAAACGTGTCTAAGCAAAATTCAGCAAATGTGCCTGAAGCAAAATTCAGCAAATGTGTCTAAGCAAAATTCAGCAAATGTGCCTGAAGCGAAATACAGCAAATGTGCCTGAAGCAAAATACAGCAAATGCCCCTGTTCAAAAGCTGTTCTCCAATTAAAAACAATTAAATGCTCAAAACTTATTCTGAGCAATTGCAATCCTATACATATTGTATAATGCTGTTTTAAAATTTTTTGTTAAAACCATATCAGTTAGAAAGTGTTCTAAATAAATTCATATAAAAATTGCAGCATGATTTCTCTGAGAATATAAATCCATTCAGACAAACATCAACAGCGTTGAATTTATTCACATAATTTTTATTTGCTTTATTAAAAAAAATATTTAACTTCACTATTTCTTTTAATCTTATTGTTATCTTGTGGGAAGTTGCTTTAAGAATTGTAGGCAAAAAAAAAAATTTATCAAAAAAGCTGAAAGAAATACTCTAACAAGAAGAAGTCAGAAAACTTACTTTTCAAAAGATTCAGGCAAAGATTCACAAGCGTTTAAAACAAATTCGCATTCATGATTTAGGACTGAGAAAAAATGCTATAATTTATACCCATTCTTATCTCATTACTATAAATATTAAAATATGAATGTTGTAAATAGTAACAAATTATATGATACAATTTATTTAGTATTGATAACAATATTATTTATCAGGTATTTCTAAAACTTATTTACTCATAGAACTTCNTCAAAAAAAAAAAAAAAATCAAAAAAGCTGAAAAAAATACCCTAACAAGAAGAAGTCAGAAAACTTACTTTTCAAAAGAGTCAGGCAAGATTCACAAGCGTTTAAAACAAATTCGCACTCATGATTTAGGAAACATGTTGCTTCAACTGAGAAAAATATGCTATAATATATACCCATTCTTATCTCATTACTATAAATATTAAAATATGAATGTTGCAAATAGTAACAAACTATATGACACAATTTATTTAGTATTGATAACAATATTATTTATCAGGTATTTCTAAAACTTATTTACGCATAGAACTTTAGAACTTTATACATTCTATTGTCCATTACGGAATGCTCTTTTTTAAAAATAAGTTTCAACAAAGCAAGCATTTATCAATGCGTTTTCTGAATCGCAAAATTTTAGCCTTGGTTACTTTAATATAGATGAGTAAAATATTTATCACTTGTTATCTGAAACAATCGCTTATTTTTTATTACCTTCCTTATTAAACTTATTTTTTTTAAATGTCTTTTTTACCTCTTTTAACTTTTTTTAATTTTTCTTTTTTTGATACCTCGCCTATTAGGTTTGAACACTCGAACTCCTAAATTCTATTTTCTGAGTAACTACTATCGTTAATTTTAAGATTTCAGAAAATTCCTTGAGGCCTTCTGGTGTTGCCATGGATCGCCAACAAGCCTACCTTTTTTAATCCTCTTTTTTTTACTGAGAGGTCACGTGCGTGCAATTAAGAGTCTACAGCAGAGGTCGCCAAAGTGGTCTCTATAGACCCCCAGGGGTCTATTTAACAATAGCGGGGGTCGATCTGAGCCAGGGGGACGAATGTGGTCTATCCGAATAGGAAGGGTTGATAGGAGATCGAAGAAAAAACAGTTCTTAATACACAAATCACGCATACCTAATTGAGTATGTAAAATTTGTGAATTTTTTTATAATTGACTTATCAGTTTCTTTATAAAACATAAATTTATAAACGTATATTTATTCGGGTGAAACAAGTATTTACGTACCAGCGCGCAGTGTAACGAACTCAGCACAGTTTATAAGTCATATGCATATGTGCGCTTGTCCAAATGTCACGTGTGACGAGCATTGACGTTACAAACGCAAATATCATACGCAGTTTCAGCTATCTCTGCAAACTGTGAACAGTGTTGAATATTTGCAGTGTCATTATTAAAACTTTTATAGTTTTGGATAATTAGTTATTGTTTCGATAAAACCATTCGTTTAGTTTAGATATCAATTTTAAATATCAATGCATGTAAAAAAAGAAGGTGAGCAATAATAATATGGATTAGTACAGCCCCCGCCACAAAACTATAGCACTCTTTGTATTTTTTTTTTATTAAAATTACAAAATTGACCAATTTTGACGAAAATTAAAATTGACCAATTTTGAGCCCAATATTGCGAACCTTTTAAAAAAACGCCAGGCACACCCATCACATTGATTAAGCAGCAATAAATCTTTAGTTACTTTACTTATTATTTCTACTTATTCAAAATTACTTATTATTTAATAAATATTAAGGTACTTAAATTTCAACATTAATATATTTTTCATAAAACTATTGTTACACTATGTACCATTACTTTAATAAATGTTTAAAATCATGAAATAAATGTACAAGCACGTATCTAATAGAGATTTATTTTAATTAACAGAAAATTACTTTTATGGGGGGTCAATGGAGATTTCGAGAAATTATATAGGGGTCGATGATCAAAAAAGTTTGGCGACCCCTGGTCTACAGTATTCTCCGGATGCCCCCTGACGGGGAGGGGGGGGGTTAAGCTTTGATCTGAAACTATCGCATCGTGATTTCTTATGTAGTTGTTTCAGGTAAGCGAAGGGTTGTTTTACTCATAAATATGAGAAGAATGATGTGATCAAGGTGATTCGATATCATTTTGGTCACTGATGTTAATACCTACGGTATTTAAAATTCTCAAATAATTAAATAAATGAATAATTGTCAAATAATTAAAAAAAATATACAAATTAAATTAAAATAAATTAAATTAAATTAAATTAAATTAAATTAAATTAAATTAAATTAAATTAAATTAAATTAAATTAAATTAAATTAAATTAAATTAAATTAAATTAAATTAAATTAAATTAAATTAAATTAAATTAAATTAAATTAAATTAAATTAAATTAAATTAAATTAAATTAAATTAAATTAAATTAAATTAAATTAAATTAAATTAAATTAAATTAAATTAAATTAAATTAAATTAAATTAAATTAAATTAAATTAAATTAAATTAAATTAAATTAAATTAAATTAAATTAAATTAAATTAAATTAAATTAAATTAAATTAAATTAAATTAAATTAAATTAAATTAAATTAAATTAAATTAAATTAAATTAAATTAAATTAAATTAAATTAAATTAAATTAAATTAAATTAAATTAAATTAAATTAAATTAAATTAAATTAAATTAAATTAAATTAAATTAAATTAAATTAAATTAAATTAAATTAAATTAAATTAAATTAAATTAAATTAAATTAAATTAAATTAAATTAAATTAAATTAAATTAAATTAAATTAAATTAAATTAAATTAAATTAAATTAAATTAAATTAAATTAAATTAAATTAAATTAAATTAAATTAAATTAAATTAAATTAAATTAAATTAAATTAAATTAAATTAAATTAAATTAAATTAAATTAAATTAAATTAAATTAAATTAAATTAAATTAAATTAAATTAAATTAAATTAAATTAAATTAAATTAAATTAAATTAAATTAAATTAAATTAAATTAAATTAAATTAAATTAAATTAAATTAAATTAAATTAAATTAAATTAAATTAAATTAAATTAAATTAAATTAAATTAAATTAAATTAAATTAAATTAAATTAAATTAAATTAAATTAAATTAAATTAAATTAAATTAAATTAAATTAAATTAAATTAAATTAAATTAANATTATAAAAATTATTTACAAAATATATAAAATACAGTCAATGTGATCTTTGGCATTGCATTTCACTGGCCAGCGCTTCATAGTTGGGAGAATATGGTGAAATTCCTGCTCGCAAGCAATCGTCAAGGTGCTCATCTGTTAGTCGGGATCTATATTTTGATTTTATGATATAAAGCAATGATTCGCAACAAGTATGTGGAACCAAAAAACTACTTTATTTTATATGCTGCTCTTTTTAAGAATAAAATTTATTTCTGACAACTATATTCCATAATTTCTCATCTGATATAATAGTTTTGAGGATAATGTCATTCTGAAGATCCAAAATTTCTATCTCCACTTCTTCTCGCTTTACTTGAAGAAATTCTGAAATGTATGTTGCTATTTCGGTTACGTTTATTTGATTGGTAAAAGGATTTACAAAATATGTGTTCAAATATCTCGATGATATTAAATTGTTGAAAGCGCTTTTGAAATTTATCATGTATGGAAAATGCACAAGAGACTTCATTTTCAAATGTGATATCCACAAAACTAGCTTAGCTCTGAACGAATTTATAGCCCCTATCATTCTTGCTACAGGTTTGTCCATTCCCTGCAGCTTAGCAATCCAAATTTTAATTATTTAATTTTTCCGTTATATCCGTTATGAAAGACAAATCTGTTAGCCAAAGAGGGTCTCTTAGATCTAAAAATACTTGATTTTTGGCTGCAAGCTAATTTCTTATTTCTTCAATTAAATGTAGAAATGTATCAAGTATTTTACCTTTACAGAGCTAGTGGACTTTTGTATGTATTTGCATAGCATTTTATGGGGAAATGGAAAACTGAAATATTTTATCGTTGGGCGCAAGCAGCGGGCGCACCTAGACCTATCGACGGACGTCATGGTGCCCGCGGGCATAGGGTTGGGGACCCCTGGTCTACAGTATTCTCCGGATGCCCCCTGACGGGGAGGGGGGGTTAAGCTTTGATCTGAAACAATCGCATCGTGATTTCTTATGTAGTTGTTTTAGGTAAGCGAAGCGTTGTTTTACTCATAAATATGAGAAGAATGATGTGATCAAAGTGATTCGATATTATTTTGGTCACCTACGGTATTTAAGATTCTCAAATAATGAAATAAATGAATAATTGTCAAATATTTAATAAAAATATACAAATTAAATTAAATTCAATTCAATTCAATTAAATTAAATTAAATTAAATTAAATTAAATTAAAGATATTTTTTTCGAGTATTTGACCTACGACTTCGGTTTGAAAACCAGTTCCATTCATTTTCAAAAAAGTAATTATTAAATTTTTTGGAAACAACTAAGCTCTATAATTTAAACTATTTTTGCATTGCAGCAATTCGATAGTTAAAATTTAAAAGCAATTTGAACTGCTTTCGTTTTTGTATAAGAACCGTATTATTTCATTTTTTTTCTCTCTAAAAACATTAATACCGAAATAACTTTGGTTCATCGCTTCGCAATTTCAAAATAATTGCTTCATAATTTCATAAATTTAAGGTCTGTTAGCTGTGGGCTGATGAAAAAAGAGCTCGATAATATTTTATAGAGAATCAGGGCATTGATTAATTATAGAGAATCGGGGCGTTAATTTATTTAAAAAATTATTTTTGATCAAACAGTGTAGGCTTCGTGGGGAAAGTGTCTGAAATTAATTTCTAATGTATTAATAACGGCGTAACAAAAAAAAAAGATCTTTTTATGAGAATGTACTAGAGTTCTAACTGTCATTTTTGAGAACAATTATGCCAAAAACATACAGTCTAAGGGCACATTTTATAAAATGATTACCCTGGGGAACTTTTTTTTCTAGTTTTTACATAAATTTTTTGCTTTTTACTATTTTTTTCCGACTGGGAAAACAAAACAAATTTTTACTATTTTTTTCTTCATTTTTTTAACTTAACACTTTAAACAACAAATTGGAATATTTTTTCTTGCAAAGTAGTTAGAAACAAAATTTAGAGCAAGTTACAAAATTTCTTTTCAAAATATATCTCGCTGATATCTGATGGTGCAACAATTTTGCATTAAACTTCGTTTCCAAGCATTTCTTTGTGTTACTCTGCAAAACGTTTTGCTGCATCTACTAATAGATTTCGTTAGTAGTTTAGGTACTAGTAGTAGTTCAGTAAATTTTAGGTACTAGAGATCAGTATAAGGATAGTGTTTTCAAAATAAAAG